CTCCTATGAATTTTCTATACAAAATGAGTGATCTTACCCAATCGTTTTAGTCATTTCCTTACACTTAGTGTCGTAACAGGCAAAAAACAAACAAACTCAATATGATGTAATATGTCGACCTAACCGGTAGTGAACGGTATGAAACAAGTCGGTAATGTGAGAGTTAAACGTGATCTTGGAAGTCGAAATCCACGTAAAGTGAAACGTAAGTGTAAACTTTGTGCCCAAAGATTGATCTTATTATTACAACAGGGTGTCAGCTAGGATGAAATTCGTAGCTTGTCTTTCGCTAATTTCAGTTTTAAGCTTCAAGAAAACTTCAAGAACAATTATTTATAATATTTCACTTAGTTTTTTTTTATTAGTATGAGAACTGTACCAATCTTATAGTGAAAATAAATTGAGCAATTAAGCTGTTACATTCTAAAGAATAAAGTGATTCGTGATATTCTATACTTAACAACTTATGTTTTAATAACTGAACCAGATTAGTTGTCATGATGGACGTCCTCCTGCAAAGGTGTAATTAATGTTATCCAACTTTTAAGTTGGCTGGAACGGTCAAGGAAGCTAAACAACTAGTGAATATTTAAAATAAAACAATTTTCCACCCACGATTGTTTGTAACTTACAATGGGTATAACTGAGGTAATGACCTTTGTAGGTATATATTAATACTTGATGTATCTTTCAGTTGAGTTCCATAGCTGGTTAAGTAGAAAAGGTTGCTGATTTAAGATCTAAAGATTTTTCTCTTTAATTTAACAGTGTGTCTCTTTGTTGTTAAGTACAAAGCTACACAATGTGATACCTGTACTCTGCCAATCACAGTAATCAAAACCCGAGTTTTGGGGTTATAAGTCCTTAGACTCACCGCTGAATCATCGATCAATGTAGGGAAGTGTATTGTGTTTCTTAAAAAGGGGTGAAAATGTAGGTAAAATAACCGAGAAAATAATATTTTACCCCCAATTATCAATCACAGAAAAAATTAGTACGTTCACCCATAAATCACTGGAAATAAAAATAGAACGTCATAGGTCGTGGTAAATTAGATACATTTTAACAAGATTATTAAAAATTGATAATTCAAAAAGGGGAGAATAGGGATCACTAAAAAATACAGAAACAAGATAGGTAGCTTAAAGGGAAAATGCAATCGTAAAAAGTGTAACCAAACAAGCTTAAGATTTGAGACATAGTGTTGACATTATTACCTCAAGCTAAAAATTTCTATTTTGACTCTCCTAAATATTACAGCTTTTAGACATGGAGTCAAAATAGGGATTTGTAGATTGGGAAAATGATATCAACACTATGTCTTAAACCTTAAGCTTGTTTGTTTACTTTTTTGCAATTGCGTTTTCACCATTGAAATTCCATTTTATAATTTTTTGAAGACCCATTTGCTCCCCTTTTTAAATTAATAATTTTGAATAACCTTGTTTCTTTAATTTTTTTATGTCCATCATGGACATTAGTTTGTAAAATAGCAATACTGTCCTATATGAAACAGTTTAGTTTCATGAAATACGTAGTGGTGTGTGATGCTCTTTCGGGAAACAATGACAACCTTTGGATTGGTTTCATGTAGATTGGATGGCTATTGCTCCTGATATCATTGCCACAATGTTATCATTGATAGTGGTACAACATGTATGATCACTATGATGCATGGTGATCAACATAACATATGTTATATATATGTTGTAAAATATATATAACTACTATATTTATACCCTGTAGCTATATGGGGAGTCCGTAAATACTGGATTGGAGGGACTACTGAACTACACCGTAATGGTGCATGGACTGGATTTTGTAAGAGCATGAGTTTTATACATGCATGTACATGCAATGCATTTTGGGTAGTATTTATATATATACATGCAGGCTTTATAGTTATTTCTGTTGTAAAGCCGTATATATAGATAGTCATATGAATTTCTCAAGTTGTATAGATGTATGCATATATATTAAATGTAAGTATAAAACAATGTGTCATAATATTATAGGATATGTTTACAAATATGCGTTTCTACTATTTCTTATAGCTGTTATATTTTCCCCTGCTTCTTCCTCTCCTCTGCTGGCCATAGTAAGGTCGGTCATGGTTTTGTTGCAGCTGGACAAGTTTCCTATTAGAGTCACATTTTGTACACTGTACAAGGGCGACAACGTGTTAATTAACAATTAGGAATTGACTGTATTAATATACTCCCCCCTCCATTTCTGATGACACCTCTACGACCCTCTTCCACTGTGACGACCCTAAACTCTGATGAATCGTCCCTGCTGCATACTTTGTCTGAAACTAAATCTTTTTTAAATAAAATATAAAGCTCATACTCGTCTAGAATTGCCATCATTTTCATCATCTTACTGCTTACACAATTATTTCCACTCCTTATAGTTAGCTTCAAGGATGGCTACTCTATCTGCAATACCTATAAAATTCGTAATCACGCACTGTTGGCTATAATTCGACACTTACCATCAGCCATCATCGTGATTGCCGATCCAATGCTCGAAACCGAGCTTGGTGTTCTCTTTTAAACTACGGCTTAAAGATTTCTGTTGTGTGAAACAGCCTAGACGTTTGTGTAACATGGCCGAAATCGCTCATGCAGTGGTAAAAAACAACAACTCTGATCCTGTAAGCAGAGTCGTGTCCGAAAGTAACAGGAACTCTATATATAAACAAATGATTCGCAATATCATTGCAGTTGCAACAATAAGTTAATAATTGCTATGGTACATGAGCCATGCCTGCCATATAAGTATTAAATTACATCCACGGCCTGCACGCAGCTATATACGTATGCATATAGTAGATTATGAGGCTCCAAACAAACTACAATAAAACGATTGGATGTCAACGTTTATACAGTCGCTGTTATTTGCTAGGTAGTCAAATAAACTTAAAAACTACACTAGACAATGCTGGCGGAACAATATTAAATAATAATAAAAAGGAACAATTGAGCGATTCTTTTATATGAACCACTACCGTGGATCATGATGTAATTCATAACATCTGTCAATTCCGACTAAACAAATTTCTGCGTTAAAACGAGATTTAATTCTACGAAACTTGAGTGCATTGTTTAAGGTTAGTCTATTCCAAAATAACCAACAATATCATGACAATAAACCGACTGAGAAAAAAGTTACCCAAAAAAATAAGAACATTTTTATTTTGAGATAATCTGAATTCATAACATTCAGAAAATATAGTAAATTTATCTGATATATATGT